TCATCAAAATCCCAAAATCTACCCAAATCACTTCCTTTACAAATCAACCATAACCACCAACACCAGCTAAAATACCCTTAAAAATCTTCCTACCCCAAATTAACGCTATATTTTGTTTATTGACTAATCTCACACCTCAAATTATGAACCCCACACCTATCACCTATCACCTTCCTTGAATAAAAAAGGACCTGGCCAATCACTACTGACGTCTATGCCAAGAGCAACCCCATATTTCAATGGCGTCAGGAATAGAGAAGCTAATTTTTGTGACAAACTATCACCAATAATTGTAAATCAAACAAAAATAAAACCAAATGAAGATATTAGATTCTAGTGTGTAATAGACATAATAGCATAATCCAGATTCGTCCTTTTTTCTCTTCCAACCATAGCCCATTAATTTCATTTTCCCCCTCTATCACAACCATCTTCATCATCTCCATCTAATTTAACCATGAAATTTTCATTTGCTCTCTCAATTTGTAAATTTGGAAATTTTAATTCTTTAATGTATGCAAATTATAATACGAGAAGAAATAAACAAGAGGAGCTGATAAGTTAAGTATCACGGAAAGAGAGAAGTAGGCAAGAAACAAACACTTCGGGTAGGTTTGCATGGTGTAGTTGATGGGTGGAAGAGACTATAGGATTATAGGCAGGAAGGAGAGAATCATAAGAGGTAAAAAAAAAGAAGGAAAGAAAAAAGAAGCTACTCTTAATTAAAGCAGGGTTAGGGATGGTGATGAGTTGTTGCAGGTTTTTAGTTTTTCTATTACTTCTGCTTTGGTTTTTATGTCCCACATATGTGGTAAATTATCTCTTAAATAGAGGGTATTATAGTCAATTTACTGAACAAAGGGAGGTCAGCATAATTTTCTAAAATTAGGGGGAGCCGAGTGAAATTGTCAGAAACCTCAAGGGAAGGGAGGTTTCTGAAATTATCCCAATAATTTATGCAATCCTAATTAATACGCCTCAATTATTTACACAGCCACATGGATCACACACGACTAAGATGAACAAGTTTTTAATTGCCGTTAAACCGTCTCAACAATATTTTTCTCTACATGAATTTTCAAAGTATCAGAAAGACCATGGTTCAAATTTTCAATAGGCTGAAAAATTTTACTACCCCCTTTATTTTATTTTATTTTATTTTTAATATCGAATGGCAACATCATATATATATATATATATATATATATATATATATATATATATATATATACACTTGATAATACAAGATTTAATTATGAATCAGGGCAACTGCCCCTTCATTTAATGACAAGAACTTTGTACTTTAAAAAGCTACTGTACAGTCTGTACCCGCATTACTCCAAGTGCAGAACATGGAGTTGTAAGAACATGAATGAGAAGTTAGTAGGTTTTTAATATACGGAGTTGCAAAATCTAGATTATTTCTTTCCTCAGTCAAAATAAAATCTAGATTATTTCAACTAATCACGAGATTTGGTCTTTCCTTAGTAGCTTCTGTTCAATTCAACATGATACGTATTATTATTGTGGCATTGAATTGAACTACGTTACAGAAGAAAATACTCCTATTTTATTATATAACAGCAGGAAAAGCACAGGAGTGTACTATTTGCTGGTACTTATCTGTCCCGATTAGTTGAATCCTTTGTTTACTTTCAACTGCCCTATGAATTACGACAAATGAAAATTGCTTCTGGTATTCTTTCTTTATGTGCGCCAAAGGTTTAGAATGACAAATATAATGAATCAATACCTGTAGTAAAAAAGACTTATAGCCGTTTCGAGAAGGTTTAGTTTAGAATCCAAACTCTGTTCTTAGTCCATTTTATAGCTAAATAATAGGAGGATAGTACTGTTCAAGTGTTCATCGTGAGATGAGCCATTGCTGTGCTAAATAATAATAAGTTCTTACATGTTTCCAGAAATTGAATCTCATAAAATGCTTTTTTACTGTATACATCTATTGTATTATGTATAAATTTGTTATGTTGACATATGTATTGTAAAGGACAGTTATGACTAACAACTGTAGGGTCCTTTCTAATTTTTGATAAAGTACTCTGTTTCAAATTGAACTTGAGGGATGTAGAGCCGAAATGTTATTCCGAATTTAAGCATACAAGGGCTTAAACAGGAACTTGATCCAATTAGACAGTGAGGAGAAGTGAGAAATGAGTAATTTTAGAAAGGAGTACTTTATAGTTAACTGTTATTATTAGAAGAATTGGTGAGTAATGGAAATGTTTCAATTACTTTAACTGTGCCTCTTAGAATCCTCCTACTTATCAGGTTCAAGATTCGAATGTTATAACTAACAGCTGCAAATAAGAAGGGTGTGAGGAGAGATGAAAGAAAAAAAAATAGGATAAAAAACAAAAAAGTCCTCTGTGATAAACCGAATATACAAAAAAGTCTCTCGTGGTTTCAAAACGTACAAAATGATACCTCATGTATTAAACTAAATTGTAAAGGTGATGTAATACATTAAACTTAACAGGGACGAAATGGATATGGGATCATTTCCTAAAATGCTGTATTTCAAACAAAAATCCATTCCTCACCCACAACTCCTTAGATGGTCGGCATGGTTCTCACAATACTCCTGATATAATTAAACCAAAGACAGCTCAACAAAATCATTTGTTTCATTCTCTAGAGAAAGAGTATTGGGGGTTAAAGGGTAGAATAGGTATATTTGTTAAAAATTAGGTATACAAATTTTTTTTTTAGGTTCTAATAAGTCATTTTTGTTAATTTTAACAGATTTCGTTACCTTTACAATTTAATTCAAAGTATGAGGTATCGTATTGTACATTTTAAAACTACGAGGAATTTTTCCATATATTAGATTTGCCACAAAGGACTTTTTTCGTTATTTATCCAAAAAACTATGGCTACTGCATATTTGCTCAAGGTAGTCATCTTAAATGTCTAAGGCCAGTCCTATTGTTTCAGTTTGCATGTTAATCCGCCAGAATTCCCACTGCGGACAGGAAATTAACTATACCAGGTCACATCACAACTTCTTTGTTCTTCTTTCTTTAACAATTCCTTGTATTTCTTTTTGATTGTAAAGGACATACTAATAAATGTATGAAATGGGAATCACAATTCCAATAGCAGACGTTAATTAGCTTGTCCCTGAGGTAATTCTTCATGTGGTGGGTCATTAGTGAACCAATGATGCTGTCATCACATATATCATGTTTATTGAAATACCCAACAACGTTGTCATTAAAATATTATGGGAAAGGATTGCTTAGTACTAATGTTTAGAAGTGTGAATTCCTGGTAGCATCATGATGGGAATGACCTATTTGCAACTCTCATCTCTGTGTGCTGATTGGGTCTCAGAGAAGATAGTCCCCATGCCTTCCATTTCTTCGTGGGCAAACAAAATTTTAATAATAATTTTCAATTGATCTTGGTTCACACCAAATTTTACAATTGAAAATTAACTTTGTTAAGAATTGTGTCTAACAAAAGTTCGTCACCATCAATCTGTGTTTTTTCTGTTGTAAGTGGTAATCAACCCGTCAAACTCGATCTCGAAGATTTTAGGCCTTGTTTGGATTGCTTGTTTCCGTTGGAAAATATTGTCGTTTTCCGTGATCACATTTCTCTATCATCTTTTTTCCTCACATATATCAAATCGCTACAGTAATTTTTCCATGAAAAATGACGGAAAATGCAATCCAAACACAACCTTAACATTTCAAAACTCGTTCTTGTCCAATCTACCCGAAAAGGGGTGAAATATCACTTTTAGGATATATAAAAATGCCTCTCATCCTAACGGCTTATGCCTTTTTTCTTTCTTTCTTTCTTTCTTTTTTTTTTAATGAAATCTCTTTGGCATCCATCGATTTTCAAACATTTGAGCAAACATACATATAGTATTTTGGAGACAGAATGAATTCAGGAGTAAACACACAGATAAAAGTATCGTGAGTCTCGTGACTTAGAGGTCGTGAATTCTGATTTTCCTTTTCTCTTCTCATTTCTTGAATTCTATCTCTCCTCCGTTTAAAAGAAAAAAAAAAATCATCTACCTCATGTTAAACACACTGCAAATGAATCCGCTAGCGTCTTGGATCAAGAACTATTACAAAACCAATTTGACATTTGAGCATGCAATGGAAACGAAATTTAATATTAGGAGTTCCAAAAAAAAAACCATCTTCTTAACTTTGGGAACTTTCAATGTTACTTTTTCTATTTAAATTTACCAAAAAACTAATCAATGTGTAGACCAGAAATAAATATTAGCAAATCCTAAAGGACACAGGGGTCTTCTAGTATAATTTAACCCAAAGTGTTAGAGAAGTCAAAGGCTGATATAATAATTGCACCTCAGTCAGAACATCATCGAACATGAAAGCCAGCTATTAGTAAAATCCAAATAGGCCAAAAACCATCGGAAGTACTGACGCAGTAGAGCGCGTTCTCTTTTGTCTGCTTTTCGATGGCTACGGCCTATGGTATGGGGAAGAAATCAACTCATACAAAGTAGTATTAGATCCTGTAAGCTTTTTTTTTTTTTTTTTTTTTTTTGGGAAAATGATCCTGTAAGCTTATTCGTCCATATATCCAACTCAAAGATACCAATTCAAACTGTTCGAAAGTCCATACGCATACCAGACCAGACAGAGTATAACTTTGGCATCAATAATGACCAATTCGTAGGCCATGAACTATTTAGATGTGATGCTTTGGAGTAAAACAGAAATTGAATCATCCCTTTGAATATCATGATACTAGATTTGGTCGGACAAACCGAATTTTGTTACAATCATTTCTGAAACTTCTGTGCAACCTATAGATTATTAGCAAATACTACATCAAATATATATAATTGAGCACCAACCCCAACCTCCCCCCCCCTCTGCCCCCACGGGGGCGAAAATGCTGTCCAATAACAACTTTTTGCCACCGTCATAGGACCCATATATAGATTGACATTGGTCATAGCAGCCTTTATATTTCTGACCAACAAAGTTTCTGGACTTTTGCCTTAGAAAATTGAAACCAGAGAAGAAGCTTAAGAGAAGTTGAAAACATCAGTAGTAATACTACTATGGACGGGGGTTCTTCTTCTTCTAGGGGTAAGGGCATGCAAGGGAAGGAAGAGAAAGAGAAAGAGGACGTCCGATATCGGGGTGTCCGAAGGCGGCCGTGGGGGAAGTATGCGGCGGAGATACGTGATCCAACTAGGCAAGGTGCAAGGCTATGGCTGGGGACATTTGAGACAGCAGAAGAAGCAGCAAGGGCTTATGATAAAGCTGCATTTAACTTGAGGGGTCATCTGGCTATCTTAAATTTTCCGAATGAGTATTATTCTCAGCTTCCCAGCCCACCTCATTATCAGCCATTTTCTTCTTCGCCGTCTTCAGCTTTTTCTTCCTCATTTTTATCAAGATCATCAGCATCATCTTCGAGTTCTGGTGCTATTCAGGGTTTTGATCAGAGGGGAAGTTCCTCATCATCATCAACAGGACAACAGAAACAAGTTATTGAGCTTGAATATTTGGATGACAGTTTGTTGGAGGAGCTTCTTGAATTTGGAGAAAAGAAAAAGAACGGAAAATGATGAAACTGTGGAGTGATGACATAAGCAGTAGCTTACCTCTTGTTTTCTCAATTACCTTTTTTTATTTTGGGTTTTTTAGAAACCTTCATCATGTTTTCGAATTTTTTACCAGCTTATTTTGGTAATCAACTATAGGTTTCAGGGAATAATAGGGGAGAAATGCTTTTGTTAATTTCTCCCTTCGTAATAAGGCATGGCCAGGTGAAACCCTTGAGTTAACCTTAGTACTATCATATTTCCTTAATTGGTACATTTTGTGATTCTGGAAAAACTGAATTCTTCTGGGCAAACGTACTTCATTGCTTCGTCTGAATGAAAATAGCCAAAAGGTTAAAAAGAATAGAAATTTTTTGATTCTGCAAGAAACAAAAGTGTGTGTGTGTGTGTGTAAAATGTAAAAATTAAAGAAAAAAATTCAGTTCACTAATTATAAACGAGGAGGAAAGATAATTGGATAATTGGGACATTAGTTTTGGCTAATTAGATTCAGCGAACTAAATCTGGCAAAGGCAGACTGCTTAATCGAAAGGGAGAATCACTTTTAGACCAATTGCTTTTCGGCCAGTGATAGTTAATGTTCGATAGGATTAATGAAAGAATCCAAGAAGAATAAAGGTTAAGATCATCCATGGATGCGATTACACTTTGCAAATGGTAAAAGAGGGTTTGACTTGAAGCAATACTAATAGGAATTGTTCTAGGGATCATTGATCGGCCATATCTCTACGAGACTAATTCGATCCACATAATCGACTTAAGATGAGTAATCCATTCAGAGAAGAAAATAATCTAATCTTAGATTTATATTCTGGACCATCTTTCCAGATTAGATTGCCTAACTATGCAAAAGGGAACCCATCTGAGATGCCTGCCGCATGTACTCCAAGCCACTGGTTTAAAACTCGATCAGATTAGCCGGTTCAACCGAATAATAACTGGATTAGATTTATCGATCCAATTGAATGAACTGTAAATCAGCCGTAGCACTGATCCTAGTCGCTAGTAAATTCGGAAACAACAATTAAATCGATCAAATCCAGTCAATAACTGTATATCAAAACCGATAAAACATTGAATTTTGAACTAGGCCCTACTAAATTTTTTCTTTTCTTTTTTTATATTTCAACACTATGCTAGTTATTTAACATTAAAAAAAATTAAAATTCTTGAATTGGATTTGAATCAGTTGTACGATATAACCAAAAGTTCATCCGATTCACTTATCTGTCTGGTATAAAAATATAGCAATAAGCGAGCCACTGAAAAAGAAGGTGCCAAAGGTTATAAACATCTCTATTGGCAACTCATAAAATCTTTGGGACCGACTTGATACTTGCAAAATCATGCAGTATATTTAGAATATGTCATATAATATGACTATCATTATGATCATGTGGCTCTAAAATACACAATATGGTTTATGAGCAGACCCGCAACTTGAGTTTACATTGAAAAGGAAGAAGCTTATTTACTTGCAACGTGAAAAAGAACCTTAGCACTAGTGTTGATGCCATTCGAAGCTTTTTGTGTACTAGTGTTCCAACATTAGGAAATGACCTTATTGTATGAGTGAATGGTGAGAACTGTTTTTACGTGTGGCTATATTAAACTGGTGGGCTAGGAATTGATTCCGCAGTATAGCATAGTCTGTAGAATCTCTTAGATTTAATTTGGGAAAGGGATTTTGTCCTTAAAACATCACTGTGGCATTAGGAGGACAAATGTAAGTACCTCAAATTTGATTCCATCCTGACGTCATACCAACTTTAGAATCTAAGGTTTTGCCCGCAATAGAGATTTGACCAAAATGCAACTAGAATGAAATTGACCTCAAATTTGACTACTTTGACTTTAAATCCACCAAACTATTTGGCTCATGATTCTCTAGTGTGAAATTCTAGCACCAAAGAAAATAAATGATAAAACTTTTAAGAGTGTTGCTTCAAACCCAAAAAAAAAAATTCTCGTGTGTTTAATCTTTGGCTTCACTCCACTGCTCAGAAATCCTGTCAAGCATTATTATTTTTGCAGACAACCTATGCCTAATTTATAAGGGGGAAAATTATAAGATTGGAAAACATTAGTTATGCAAATTTGTGGTGGGATATGAGAAGAGTCGAGTATGGTCATGTGCCCGTCTGCCACCGAACCCTTAATCCTGAACTGTGACTTCAGAACAATTACCCACCTCAGTACCACATTAATAGTACTACATATTGATCTTAGTTTACACCAATAGGAATGTGAACATTTGATATGACGAAATTTGCAATCAAGTACATAATAGTCGTCTAAGAATTAAGATTTAACAACTATCCTACTCCAAGTGATAGAAATCGAAATACAGGTATTGATTTTACACACAGAAGCATAATTTGAGGTACGAAATGTTTAAGAATCCTATATCTTCGCCGATGAGGCATTGAGCTAACAGCCAAGATTGAAATTTCAGAACTTGAAACGTTTTGAGTTCAAATCTCACTGTCTCTTTCCGTTTTTAAATTTCACCCATTCTCTACAAGAGGAAAAAAAAAAAAAGAACCCCACATCTTAAAGTTCATAAAGGCTGTATTACAATGCATAAAAGCACATAAAAGTAATGCTCATACATAAAATTCCAATAGAGACATCTAATAAAGTGGAAAAAGATACACATGAAATTACTATGGCCTTCCTGGGCAGTGCATATTGCAAAGTGTCATTCAGGTTTGAATCTCCACTAGCAATTACCGTCTATCTTCATAGAAGCATGGATTTTTTTTCCCTAAAAAGCAGACAAGCATAAATCCAACATCTTGCACAAAAATTGCACGAGCTAATATTATCTCATATGTCACTCAAAAAGGAAAGAAAAAAGGGTCAACTGAAGTACCTGATATCTCCACATCAAAGAGTAAAACAAATATAGCTGGAAGTCAACACAAGTCAACCACTAAAACCACCAAAGCACCAAAATAGCACTGCCTAGAAGCTTTATCCACTTCATCGCCTGGAGTTAATTTGCACCGAAATAGTATATCCTGCACCTGAAGCTTTGGCCACTTGATTTCCTTCCTTCAGTTAAATGACTGAAAAATTGATAGTCGTAGGCATATTAGCATATCTTCTGAACAGAAGGACAAATAGCACACATTTTAGTTCTTTAGTTGTAAAACTTTTTGCTTCATCTTTTTCTTTTCTTTTGCTTTTTGGCCAAATTTTACTTCTACCAGCAATTCAAACGAACATTGCAGAAACCACATATGTGCAATCTCAGACAGTTAATTTCTTTTCTTTTTCTTTGTACCTTGCATTTCATCTACAATCATTTATTCATACATAATAAGGACTCGTGGCCTTTACCAATAGCTTTCTGAAAAAGCATCCATGGGTGCAACTATCAACTAGATACAACAAGAGAAATTCATTCCTCTAGCCAACCAAAAAAAACCCAAAAAAAAAAAAGCTGTTTGTTTTGCCAAAAATATAAAGCAAAAACAACAGAACAGTGCAAGAAAAGGTGAGAGAAATGAAGTAGAAAGTAGCAACGAACTTCAATCTTGTCTTCCGCTTTTTTCCTCAGCACCAAGCAGCTCCTCCAACAGCTTATCATCATAATACGGGATTTCAATAACTCCCTCCCTTGCTGATGAAGAAGTAGAAGCAGCAGTAGACGATGAGGAGGCAGAAGCAAAATGGGATGAGCTGCTGGGCAAATTATAATCCTCAGGAAAGTTGAGAATAGCCAAATGTCCCCTCATTGCATAAGCAGCTCTGTCGTACGCTTTAGCCGCCTCCACCGCGGTGTTGAATGTTCCAAGCCAAACCCGGGCTCCATGATTCGCAGAATCCCGGATTTCTGCCGCATATTTCCCCCACGGACGCTTCCTGACGCCCCGATACTTGGGCTCTCCTCCTTCATCTCTGGCCCTTCCTCGGTCACCTGGACCTTCCATAATATTTCTTGATTGCAAAGTGACCCGCTGCTGGTGGAATCGTGGGGCTTACCTATATATACAGGAGGGAAATTTTTTGAAAAAAGTGCTGAGTTTGGCAAGAAGGAAGGGTGAGGAATTTGCCAGCTGGATGATCCAAGGAATGAAATTCCAGGCTTCACACGTGGTAGAGAAGCTTCGATGGTGACCGGATTGCCAGTATGCAGTGTATCGGGATGGGTCAACCCGATGGCTTTGCGACTTCTTCTTCCATCACTTTTGCATTTGTTTGTCTAAATCATAATAATAATAATAATTATTATTATTATTATTACTACTACCACTATTACTATTGTTATCCTTTTCTGGCAAACTTGGATTTATGAAAGATGTGTTACGTTTTGTTTTGTTCTTCAAAGTTCAAACAGGAGAGCCTTTTGTAAAATGCAAGCACGTGAAAGTTTAGGAACGTTTTGGATCTTGGTGGTGATGTCATTTCACTCATTTGCTTACTTTTTTCCCTTGAACATGAAAAAGATAAAATTGCATGCAGGCATGATACAATAGGGAGTCCAAATTAATTAACACCTTTAGATGTTTCAAAATAATACTAACACTTTCTGGATTAGGGGTTGTAAGTTGCGCAATTTAATTAGTGCAGTTGTTGTACATATTTGCATTCTGGATCAAACTTTGTAGATATAGTTATGCAAATAATGCAGATATTAGAACATTTCTTGATCAAGTAGTAAATTGGCCGCTGCTTCCCCACATGAAATTTAGTATTTTCACAAGGAAACCTCTTAGTGTGCTTTCGCCCTTTTTTAATTATAACTTCTTGTAATACTCATCCAACATTTCCTTTTTAGGTGATGAGTATTATTTTGAAGCATCTAAAGGTGTTAATCGACCACTGCTTCCTGTTCACAAGGATTTCAAGATAAGGGTTTATACCAAACGCACCACCACATTAAGATAGGGTATTTTAAAACAAACAAACAAAAAAGAAAAAGGTAAGAGATCGACTTGTCTAGCTACAACATTATAAGATAATGTCATAATTCCTATATTTTCTGCTTAAGTGAGAATGAATATTGTGGTCACAATCTGAAAGCCATGTAACCTATTATATATTAGTATGCTGTATTTTTAGGAGATAGAATACGGTAGTATTCAAGGAAAGACGTTTGGCTCAAAAAAAAAAATCTGAACAACAACATTTACATGCATTTCACCATGGTTATTGCTGAGTTTTTTTTTCCCCATAGATTAAATATAAACGTGCCCCTAGGTTTAATCATGATCTAAACACTGAAATAAATTTATCCACCATTGGCTAGATTTATTTTGCTCCAATAGCAAATAAATGACAGTCGATAATAACCATCATACATCCCAACTTCATCATGCGTTTTCTTTTAACAAAAGAAAAAAAAAAGTGGTTTTTTTCACGTTTATTGAATAAGCAAGTTTATGGATTCAGATTTATGGTTGTACACTCTGACAAAATAATCCTGCCAAAAAAAAAAAATTGACTTACCATGAAGCCATCGAAATGAAAGAACAATTCCTGAAGGAGAAATGCGTATTTTCATTCCATGGAATTGAAGGTCAATATTCAATTTGACTGCAGTAGTAGAATTGCCTTGTAATTCTATTCGATCAAAGACCTGACTTGGTCTAAAAGATTATCAAAGACAATTTCCATAGGTCTCATGAGCAGAATTCGGATTTAATTTATAGCGACGTAAGGCCACCATTACTGCATGCTTTCCTAGTGACTAAGCACTCTCTTAATCTATTCTTCCTAGTGGAGAAAAAGCTAAAACAGAATCCCTCACGAGATTAATTAATTAACAAATCATTTACCCACCTAGCTGCGTTAATTAGTTACCAAACTATATGTGATGCGGTTTCTTGGAGCCCTCCCTCTACATTGAGGAGAATTATCAAAGTCAAACCAGCGTTTTTGTGGGGCATTGTCACAAACGACAAAGATTAACAAATTGATTAGGGTTTTAATTTACTACCAGAATGAAATTCATTAGCCGTTAATTGCCATTGCATGCAAAAACACAATGATCGAATAAAGAGTCTACATGAATGCATATATGGCTACGTAAAATATAAATCTATACCAATTTAATAATTTATAAGTAATTATGCCCAATGATTTATTTCCCTTCATTTCCATGCACAAAGGCAAATCTCACGTATACACTCTTCTCTATCTTTCACACTTAACTTTTGATAATCAATGTTTTAGCATTTCTATATGTCTATATACACACACACACACACACGGGCGAGTATATATGGCTGAAATTTTGTACTTGCCAAAAATGACGTATCATACGTAAATTGGTTATGGTTATAGTTTTTTCTGTTTTTTGGAAGTAGAGGGGAACCAGAAAATATATATTGGCATGATATGCAAATATATTCAAAAATAATCTTTGTATGTTATTAACTTGTGGAGTTCAAATTTTGCACCACTTTCTGCAACTTTGGGGTCCATATCTATACATGTTACATGTGGTGCTCGGCACAAAAACAATTGGCAATAAAATTAATACTATTCTAACGGCAAAAAAGCTTGACTTTTACCAGTTTTGGCAGCTGAAGGAAAAGAATTCAGAATCCTACATTTGTTTTGATTGAGACTTGGGCATTAGTTGCATAAGAATACAGATGTTATTTGATTGAGACCTGATTTACGTTCCTTGTTCCATCAAAATTCCAGCAAAACTTAACTAACTTCAGATTTAACTAGCTTTATATTGCCAGTAAAGGTATACTTAATTTGATTTGTCTCCCTTTCGGAACTCAGGGGAAAACTAATGAAGATCATAAGATTCAAGGTGATCTGTTTAACTATATATGTGTTTTTTACAAATACTTGTTTGTAAAAATCACAGAAGAATCAAACTGATCTATCGTCGTCATCAGATTTTCGGCAAAAACTTAACTAAGTTTAGATTACTAGTAGAGCCATATTTTGATTTGTCTCTCTTTCAGAATTCTGGAGAAAACTAGAGAAGATCTTTTCTATACGATTTTTTTTTTTAATTAAAGAGGATCAATAAGTAGTTCCCCACTTATCCCCGTGATGATTTATACTCGTGATTTTTCGATTACAGGTGAACACATCTTACTAACTAAACTATGCTTCGTTGTCGAGAAAATCATTATAATCAAAGTTTTCTGTTTAACTGTTTACGTGATTTTTACATATACTTGCATATAACCACGTGGTTTTGTGTATATTGAAACTTGAAAGTTCAAGAATATCATGATACATAAAAAGGCTTGTAAAAATGATCATTAAATTCACCAAATGGTACAAATTCGTGTGCGGCAAAGATACATGGCATGTTTTTACTGAGTCTCATTTTCGTAGTAAATTTAATTTCAATTGATAAGGTTCTTAATTTAAATAACAAATTAAAAGGTCGAAAACAAGAAGAAAAACTTTACAAATTTATAAATCTTCGGCCATACAATTTGTAGGCGGGAGTATTTCATTAGGCAGCAATATTGGGCGATATAAGATCTGCAGGGTTTGTGGGCTTTCAAGCCCACTCTAACGGTGGAAGAAATCGGATTTTGGGCTTGAACTTCTGGGAAATACTCACACTTACAATTGGGGCTTTAAAATCACGAGGGTTTTAATCACTTAAAATTGTTGCTTTAACATCACAATTACAATTGGTGCTTTAACTAAGCCCAAACATATTGTACCAGTCCTAGGGTTGTAATCGAGCTGAACCGATCTCGAGTATTGTGGTACTCGAGTCGAGCTCGACTCGACACTAGGAAGGCATTGTTCGACCTCGAAAAATTGTTTGAAAATTCGAGATCGATTTGATTATGTTTGATTTTCTTGTGATTATGATCGAGTTCAAGTCAGGTACTCGAGTTCGAGATCCTTATCCAATTCCAAAAATGCATAATTTTATTCTTTGCCTATCAAATTATTTTTCTTCATATGAAATAACTATATGACCTATAAATATTTTAAAGTCATAGCCAATAATCTAGTAATTTATATAACTCCCAAACCTAAAAGAATAAAAATATAATAACTAAATTTATAATATTTAATTAATTAGTCGGTGCTCGATAAGATTCAATGAGCCTTTAAGCCTAAAAAACAATATTCGAACTCAGATTGAAGTACTATCAAACCACTCAAACTTGACTCACACTCAGTCAAAACCAAGTGCGAGTTGAGTTCTTGACCGAGCTACTTGTAAGTTGCTCATGAGTAACTCAGTTCAATTATATCCCTAACCGATACATATGATTCTTTAACTCCAATCTTAATGTTCTTAAACGGCGGAAACAAGTTTCATCAATTTCAACACTTTACTTTTTGAGTTTGTTGATTACTTTAATAATTCTAAAATTGTATTTAAATTTCGAATCAAATTTAAATGAGCTTTTATCGAATTGAATTCAAATAGTTTGAACTTTCTTCATATAAATTTTAAATTGTATGCTAATATAATCAAGTTTATGTCAAGTTCAAAACTTCATTGAACTCAATATGTGTAGACACCAAAATTTTATAAATCATTTTTATCATTTATTTTGCTTATCTCTATTTCTTTTTACTTTTTTTATTTTTTTATTTTACTTTTTCTAAAAAATCATCACCTCATTTTTATTTATTTATTTTTGCAGAAAATTAGAAAGAAAAAGAAGAAAAGAAAAAAAAATTCATCAGACACGAGCTGCATCTTCAAGCTTCGAACAAGAAGCAGCGCACCAGTACAGAAATTGCAGCTGGATTTTTGAGCCAATTTGGTGCGATTTTTTTTTCCTTTTCTTTTTTCCCAAGCTCTCCAGTACGAGAGCCACCTCACCCCAACCAGAATCATCAAGAAAATTCTGGAAGAGGGAGGATCAAATGACTCAAAATGACCCAAATAAGTCAGCTTTCATCCCTACCTTTGAGGTGAGGGTTAGGAGCTTTTGTTTCATGTAAAAGAGAGAAAAAAAAGCAGCCATTAGGGTAAGGAACAAGGGAGGGGTGAAG